GGTATGTTCCCTCCAGTCCAATTCCCTCTAGGACTTTGAACATAAATGCATGTTGAATTTTGTCAAAGGCCTTCTCTGCATCTATTGAGATGACCATGTGGCTCTTGTCTTTGAGCCCATTTATATGACTTATGACGTTTATTGACTTACGTATATTGAACCGTCCCTGCATCTCTGGGATAAAGCTGACTTGATCATGGTAGAGCTCAGAAGGTTTTAATAGGTAATTAATTCTTCTAGTTTTTACACTCAGTAAACCAAAAACATTAAGCATACTCTTCATTCATATTTAAAAAAAAAGTCAAATACAGCCAGGCATAGTGGCACATGCCTTTAATCCCAGCACTTGGGAGGCCAGCTGGGGTTACAGGGGGTATAGGGGGGCCCTGTCTGAAAATGCCCCCTCCCCCCAAAAATCAAAAAGTCAGGCGTGGAGGCCCTGGCCTTTAATCCCAGCATTTGGGAGACAGAGGCAGGCAGATCTCTGGAATTCAAGTCCAGCCTGGTTTATACAGCAAATTCCAGGTCAGCTGGGGTTACAGGAAGAGTGTCTCAAAAAAGACCAAGAACAGAAACAAAACAAAACAAAGAGTCAAATACAATTCTCCAGATGTATTTTGGTTTGAAAAAAAAAAAAATTTCCAGTATCACATGGAGTGACAGTGCTCAAAACGGATTCTATATTGTATAACGGTAGTGACATGGAAATCTATCTTTCCAACTGTCAGTTTAACAAACAAACAAACAGCCTTTAATCCAAGCACTTGGGAGGCAGAGGCAGATGGATCTCTGTGAGTTCAAGGCCAGCCTGGTCTACATAGTGAGTTCCAGGACAGCTGGGGCTACAGGAAGAACGTCTCAAAAAGATAGATAAATAAGTAAATAAATAAATAAATAAACAAAAAAAAATAAAAAACAAACAAAACAATATACCAATACAAAATATCAGGCTGTATACTAATTCTACACTGTAAGTTGTTATTTTTGTTTTTAATAAATATTCTCTCTCTCTCTCTCTCTCTCTCTCTCTCTCTCTCTCTCTGTGTTTCTTTAGAGTCTCACTATATAGCCCTCACTGGCATCTTATTCAGAAATCCACCTGCCTCTGCATCCTGAGTGTTATACTTTCAATTTCTTTTAGAATTTTGAAGGTAGTTTCTTTTTGAACTAGCTGGTGAACAGACTTCTAAGCAAAAGGGAAACTACTTCAAATCTAGAATCCACAACAGTACATATGAATAAATTTGTCATAGTTATTTAATACAGTATCTTTTTAAAAAAATTTTTTACATTTATTTAATTTTGTGTATATGTGTACACACACATGTGCACGCCACAGCACATGTGGAGGACAGAAAACAACTTAAGGGAGTCAGTTCTCTTATTCATTTATTTATTTATTTTATTTATTTTGGTCTTTTTGAGACAGGGTTTCCCTGTAGCCCCAGCTGGCCCGGAACTCACTTGTAGACCAGGCTGGCCTTGAACTCACAGAGATCTGCCTGCCTCTGCCTCCCAAGTGCTGAGATTAAAGATGTGTGCCACCATGCCTGGCTAGTTCTCTCCTTCTACCATGTGGGTTCCAGGGATCAAACAGGCCATCCAACTTGGTGGCTAGTGCCCTCCCCACTGAACCATCTCAGCAGTTCTCTGGAATAGCTGTTCTTTGACATTTTTAATTTATTTTATTTTTGTTGCAAGTTCATTTGGCTTCTTGTAAAAGTAAACTACAAGAATCATGACACAGATAATTATGTCCTTCAATCCAAACAAAGTAGGCCTTAAAAGAGAATTAGGAACAAAGAGAAACAGTACACAAAAATCAGTTAAAAGGTAGCTCCTAAAAGGGTAACAAAAAGATAGAAAGGAAACATAGGAAAGAGATACACTATATAGACACTTCTCACTAAGAAGAGAGAAGAGTATTGTTGAGAGTTAAGTAGAAATTTGTAGATGCCTAAGACAAAGCCAGCACTAATAAAATATGAATTCCCAAGAAGATAAATGTGGGAGGTTAGAACTACAGACATGACATAAAACAACTTAGATATAAATAGGCAATACAGTTCTTTAGATACTATCCCAGTGAAATGATAGTACTTTGATTGGTTTGCTTTATTTTATACTTTGGGTTTTGTTGTTCATTTTCTACTTGGCTCTGTAATAGAATGAGTTAATTTATTTTGTTAATCAAAAATTAATAAAATATTCTACATGAAAATAAAGTTTTACCAATAAAAGAAAATCAAGTGAACTCACACTGCTTTTCTTTGCCATTTCAAAATGAAAAAGCACACCAGCTTTAAAAAGGCATAGCAGCCATACTTTGAACAATGAGGCATGAACCTCACCCTACATCACCAGCTCCCAAATTAAATGCTGACTTTGTCCAAATGAGGAAACACTGTGTCTATCATTAGCAAACAACAGTGTTCTATATGAGAACACAGAAGTGAATTCCTTCAACATAGTAGAAACACTTCTAATGAGGCAGCACTATCTAAGAACAGCATACAACATTGGCTTACAGATTTGTACTTCATGTTGTTCCACTGGCAGATGTCCTCACTCTTCAAAGCACAGGGAGCTGCTACTTCAGACTGAGCCCAGCATTTCAAAACTGGGAACTCTGAGAAAAGGGGCAAAAGAAGGTCAGAAAACCTGCATTTGGACTCAAGGCTGTAGCTTGTACTGTACCTCAACAGAAATCTTCCATGCTAGGATATGAAAACTCAAACATTTTAAAACACAATTCACATGTTTTGGACCCATCTATCACATGCTGTCATTTTAGCATCCTTTTTAATGTGGATGTCTAGGAAATACAAAGTTACAGCGGTAATCACAGAACTTGAACATGATTTCTTAACAAAATCTTAAATATACACTATTACCCCCTTTTAAGTATCGCTTCACAAGAAAAAAAAGTATCATTTCAGAAACATGATCTGAAGTTATCTGAAATATATTCAGAAAAGTGAGCACATCTTCAGTACACAGCTTGATAAAAATCTCAACATCATGTTTACCCATATAAAGATCATGCAGATCAAAACAAAACAGATTCCCAGTGTCCTCTCAAGGGAGGCACTTTGCCAGAGGTGGTGGCACTCAGGAGGCAGAGACAGGTAGGTCTCTGTGAGATAGAGATCAGCATGGTCTACATAGTGAGTTCCAGGTCAGCTAGGGCTACAGAGAGTCTCTGTCTCAAAAAACAAACAATAAAAATAGAGGTACTTTCAAAACTTTATTTAGGGTAAAAAAAAAAAAAAAAAGTTATCATTAGTAGAAACAAAATTAGGCTAGATAAAGAAAGCTAATAGTGCCAAAGACTAACTTTTTTGTGACAGACGGTTTGATAATGACAAATATGATTAAAAAATTCCTACCTGCTAGTTATTAGCAACAATACTGTTAGCTTTTCTAAGTCAACCCAAATTGAAGAAATAAATCAAAATCTGATTGTTTTTATTTTGAGAGAGGGTCTCACTATGCAGACTAGGCTTGCCTCAAACTCAAAGATCCACCTGCCCCTGCATGATACCTGGATGAAAAAGCTTCTTAAATTAAAGAAGCAGCTTTGCTTCTGAGAAAATGTGAAGAAATAATGAAAGTCTAGGATTTTTGTTTCTCTTTTCTTATTTTTTGAGGCAAGGTTTCATGTATCCTAAATTGACCTTGAACTCTATGCAGCCAAAGATTGCTTTCAACCTCTGATCCTTCTGCTTCCACATTCAAGTTCTGGATGACAAGTATAGTATACACATGGCTTCACCCCTACCTACTTACCTACCTCTTGTGGGTTTTTTGTTTTTGATCTTTTTGAGACAGATCTCCCTGTAGCCCCAGCTGGCCTAGAACTGGCTATGTAGACCAGGCTGGCCTTGAACTCACAAAGATCCCCTGCCCTCTGTTTCCCATGCCTGGTGTACACCTTGTGTTTTTGAGACAGGATCTCACTATAGAGTCTAGACTGGCTTCAAACCCTAATCTTTCTAACTTCAACCTCTAGAGTGCTGGGATGACAGGTTATATACCACCAAGTCCAGAAAGAATAGTTTTTATTTATATTATTATTGTTTATTTATTTTTGTTGTATGAGTGTACTGCCTGCATGTATATAAGTGCACCCATGTCGTGTAATGTCCAAGCAGGTCAGAAGAGGGCATTATGGATGTTAGATGAGATGTGATGAGAGTGAACTAGAGTTATGGATGGTTGTTAGCCACCATGTGGGTGCTGGGAATTGAAACCAGGTCCTCTGCAAGAGCAGGCAATGAATGCCCTTAACTGCTAAGCCATCTCTTCAGCCCACAAATAGTTTTTAAATTTACACAAATCTCCATATAAAAACAGAACAATTGTAGAGCTTATGGACAAAGTGTGCAACTAAAGTAGGTGATCAAGTATCCTGTCCTCTTGGAACACAGCACAGGTGAGAAGAAACAAAAATACCTTTAAAATCACTGAGTCTTGAGCCAGGCATGGTGGCGCGCACCTTTAATCCCAGCACTTGGGAGGCAGAAGCAGGCAAATCTTTGTGAGTCTGAGGCCAGCCTGGTCTATATAGTGAGTTCCAGGAAAGCTGGGGCTACAGGGAGACCCTGTCTCAAAAAGACAAAAACAAAAACAAAAACAAAAAAACCTCAAAAAACCCCAGTAAGTCCTGCAAAGCCAGGACTAATCAGAATGCAGCAAAGAGGCAATGTGAGTCACTACAAAGGGAGTCACCACAAAGGGAGTCACCAATGGTGATGGGTGGCACATGCCTGCAGTCTCATTCCTTAAGAACCCAAGGCAAGAAGAGCAAAACATTAAGGCCAGCCTGAGCTACAAAGAAAGTTTAAGGCCAGTCTGGCTGACATAACAAGATCCCAATTCCCCAAGAAACAACCAGGTATTATACATCTACTGTTTTTTGGTGGGTTTTTTGTTTTTGTTTTTTGGTCTTTTTGAGACAGAGTTTCTCTGTAGCTCCAGCTGTCCTGGAACTCACTATGTAGACCAGGCTGGCCTTGAACTCAGGGAGCCACCTGCCTCTGCCTCCCAAGTGCTGGGATTAAAGATATGTGCCACCATGCCCAGCACACATTTTCTTTTAAAAGAACACAGTCCTCCCTATGGTCTTGTCAGAAGAATCAAACCTGAACCAATCTGATCATACCCTCTGGAGTTGGCTACTATTTCCAGGAAATAAAGAATTACAGGAACAAGAACTATAGCAGGAGTATAATCAGAAATAACCCAACCATAAGAAAGAAACCCTGGCTGGGGGTGGTGGTGCACACCTTTAATCCCAGCACTTGGGAGGCAGAGGCAGGCAGATCTCTGTGAGTCAAGGCCAGCCTGGTCTAGGTAGTGAGTTCCAGGACAGCTGGGGCTACAGGGAGACCCTGTCTCAAAAAGACCGAAAAAAAAAAAAAAAAAAAGAAAGAAACCCTAAGGTCAAATGGCCCACGACCTTCTTGTACACTAAAGAAACAACAGGTTTTATTGACAAGACTAAATTATAGTACTTAAGAATCTTGTCCATTAAGAAGTGAGGGCCAGGGCTCAGAGATGACTTCAGCAGTTAAGAATGCTTCTCTGCCGGGTGTGGTGGCACATGCCTTTAATCCCAGCACTTGGGAGGCAGAGGCAGGCAGATCTCTGTGAGTTCAAGGCCAGCCTGGTCTACACAGTGAGTTCCAGGACAGCTGGGGCCACTGGGAGACCCTGTCTCAAAAAGACAAAAAAAAAAAGATTTATTAAGAATGCTTCTCTGGAAGAGAACCTGAGTTCAGTTCCCAGCTCCCACATCAGTTGGCTCACAACTTCCTGTAACACCAGCTCTGGGGAATCCAGCCCTCTCTTCTGGCCTCTGCAGGCATTGCACTCACATGCACATATTCCCTCCACCCACCCACCCCAACACATAATTATAAATTTAAAAAAAATTTTTAAGGCTGGGCATGGTGGCATATGTCTTTAGTCTCAGCACTCAGGAGGCAGAGGCAGGCGGATCTCTGTGAGTTCAAGACCAGCCTGGTCTACATAGCCAGTTCCAGGACAGCTGGGGCTACAGGGAGACCCTGTCTCAAAAATACCTAAAACCAAAAATTTTTTAAAGGAAGTGAGATTAAAATTTGTAAACTGAGTCAGTCTTAGAAGGGAAGGAGACTATGATTGGGACAAGACATGTGGAATAGTTGCTAGTGTGGCTGACAAAGTTTTCTTTTTTAAAAATGTTTTTATTACATTTTACTTATTAGTGTATATGTGTATGGATTTGCACATGGCACCACAGGCATGTGGCAGTCACAGGTCAACGTGGGAGCTGGTTCCTTCCTTCCATTACAGGGGTCCTAGGGATCAAACTCAGGTGATCAGGCTTAGCAGTAAGTGCCTTAACTCATTGAGCCATTTTACCAGTTCTATTTCTCAACCTAGGTGACACGTAATAGGTATCTGCCTTGCAACAATTCATTAAACTATGTGTGTATATGGTTTTTCTACATGTGTACTTTGTATCACAATCAAAAAGCTGAAAGGAAGATGCTTTTGTTATTCCTTGACTGAAGACCTGCCACCACAATGCTACTCTTATTTTCAACCCTCAGAAAACCTGCAACCCTCACCTTCATCACAGTACATCAATAAATCTGGGTTGTTGACCACAATAAGTGTGTGTCCATCTTTCCTATGTGGCCGGTGATAGCGATAGTGCACGGGCAAAAAGGCTTGGAAGCAATCAATGCACTGTGCATCTTGTCTGGCATAAATGAGAACTTCAGATTCTTTGGACAAATAGTTGGGAGCTTCTATATTAAAACTTTCTGATACCATCACTGCCTGTTGAAGAGAAAACAAGTATTAATCAAGAAGAATATATGAATGAAAAAAAAAGACCCAAGTAAAACCAGAAGATTTCTGTACAATCATGCAGAAGCATCAGATTTGTTCCCTTTACATACAAAAGCCATTTTTATTCCCCTTTCATCCTCAATTGTATGTGGGAAACAAGGGATGTGACCAATGAATAACAAAAGTAAATGGGGAAATTATATTCTCAAGTGCCAAATTTCCCCATAATAAAAATTACTTCTGGAAATGTCTTTAATTAACCTCTGCTTAACCGAAAAAACAGGTACCCCCAAAAGTGAAACTGTATTATTCAATACACAGTATTATTCAATACACCTCAATTTGTATTCAGTAAAAATGACTAGCATCATTCTGGTCATTTCCTGTTCTTTAGTGAAGCAAGTAAAATGGTAGTAAGATAGAGCACGGGGCAGGAAGTCATACAGATTCAGCAACTTTCTACAGTGGTTATACAAAGGTCATGAATATATAGCAAACAATTTTATTTTATTTTATTTTTTTGTCCTTTTGAAGCAGGGTCTCCCTGTAGCCCCAGCTGTCCTGGAACTCACCATGTAGACCAGGCTGGCCTTAAACTCACAGA